GAATTGAAGACTAAAGTATCTAGGTAGTATGACTGATTGAAGGTTTAAGTTGTTATCGCAGAAGAAATAATTAGTGTGTTTGTACTGATGAGAATGTGTAATTATCTTGTTCTTTAGTGTTTCACTATCGTGTCCTACATAAAATCAATAGCATTGCTCTCAATGTCGGAGGAGAAAATGCGACGAACAATTAAATCTTTAACATCTTTCCATGAAAATTCGGAGAAATTGTCTTGAAATTGAAAAGAGAAATTAGAAAATGTAATTAGGGTTGCTTTATTCATCTGTTAAAATTCGCTATTCTTTATTCAAATTTAACAAGACCTTGAGACAGCCTTGAACAAGTCGAAATTGACTTGTTCCCCGAAAAGTTTAGAAAATTGTATATCCCTGTCGTTGAAGTTAAATTATTGTTAAATTTCCCAGAGACATTGGCGTTGTTTTGGCTGATCAAGCAGAAAAAAAAATGAAGCTGCATGCATGAGCAATGTTTAAGGAACCCTGTACCACTGAAAAAAATGTAATATTTAAGAAACCCTGTACCACTGAAAATATGTAATGTTTAAATAAATTAAACCTTGTACCCCTGGAAATATGTAATGTTTAAAGATCCCTGTTACCCTGAAAATATGTAATGTTTAAAGATCTCTGTTACCCTGAAAATATGTAATGTTTAAGGTTCCCTGTACCACTGAAAATAGTAATGTTTAAAGATCCCTCTACCATGGAAAATATGTAATGTTTAAGGATACCTGTACCCCTGAAAATATGTAATGTTCAAAGATCCCTGTACCACTGAAAATATGTTATGTTTAAAGATCCCTGTACCACTGAAAATATATAATGTTTAAGGATCCCTGTACCACTGAAAATAGTAATGTTTAAAGATCCCTGTGCCACTGAAAATATGCAATGTTTAAGGATACTTGTACCCCTGAAAATATGTAATGTTTAAAGATTCCCGTACTACTGTAAATATGTAATGTTTAAGGATCCCTGTACCACTGAAAAAAGTAATGTTTAAAGATCCCTGTACCACTGAAAATATATAATATTTAAAGATCCCTCTAACACTAACAAAAATTTAACTTTGAAATGGACACTTTTTATCTGCATGACAATATTGCTGGAATAATTTCGGAAAAGAAACCAATAGTTTGCTAGATCAGGTGATTGCTGTGACTCTTCTAGGACTTTGATCAATACAATTTGGGTACATGTTTTTACCAATTGAGCTTAAGTGAAAAGCAGTAGTACCCTTGCCACAACTCCCTACAGTCATATCCAAAACAAATTTACGGGAGGTTACTCTATGTATAAAAAATTACAGTTTAGTATTTTGTATGTCATGAGACAAGAAATCTGTTTGTTTTAAAGCTGTCTTGCTAAACAAGATAGGTAGAATTTAGGATACAATTTTCACTTAAGGTAGATAGCAGCATTTGTTTCTCAAAATAATTTCATTAAGTTTTGTATGTGATACGCAAGTCTCTCACTGGTGTTTGTAAGTAAACCAACTGTTTCCTTTGCTTTGTGAACACACACTTAACTTGAATATCTCAAAATTGTGAAATTTTGTTTCCACTTTTGAAAGTATGCTGAAACATAATTGAACAGACAACATTTAATTGTGGTATACATTGTTTGTGCAAGCAGATGAGGTATACCTCCTTGTTGATTGAGCCACAGGGGACCTTAGGGGATGTTACTGAAGATATTGGTTAACTCCCCCTTAGGAACCTAAGATAGTTATGCAGAAGATATTGTTATAGCTACAAACATTAAGTGAAAATAAATTAAAAATTTTAATAAAAATTGTTGTATGTATAAAATTAGACCCAGTTTTAGATAGAAAACATATAAATACAGGATACACAGTTTTTATGTAAAATGAGAGATATTAAAATATATTGTGCAAAACAGTACCGATTGGTTCAATCTTTTACTTTTGGTCGAAATCTAAATCCAAATTTGAATTTCGTAAAAAACTATTGTTAACCAATCTAAAAAGTCAACTCAGCATTATAACCAGTCTTCAATGTACAAGTCGAATGACGAAATGAATCCCAAAGCGATCTCTAACAGCTCTGCAGAAAATAGCTGAGACTGACAAGCTCATATCACGAAAATTGTGCACAGACAGAATACTATAGACACTATTGAGTGTATACACTCATTGTAACAACTCCTTATGGTCAGACAGAATTACAGGATACAGCAAGTAACGGATAAATAAATATTATATGTCTTTGCGTAAGTGGCAGACCGCAGGCAAGGTCTTCAGAGGTATATAGACACTGAGGAAAGGAGAAGGGGGAGGGGTGAGAAAGGATGGGCACAATATAGTATATGTAGTTACACCATTTACGAGAACAGGATACAGGCTGTAAAAAAATATAATTTGTTCATTCTGGTTTATATAAATATAGGATTCCGATTGTACATTCTGGTTTATATAAATATAGGATTCCGATTGTACATTTTGGTTAGTTATATTGAATTGCCTTTACCATGAACATTTAACGAGTAACTAATTATGTCTCTAGTGCGTAATACGTGGTTCCAGTATTTCCAGACGTACATTCGCTATATGACTGATATCAAGTATCAGTTTGGTTATATTTTACCTGGCCCTGGGACTTAGTGTCGAGTAAGTTTGGTTATACTATACCTGGCCCTGGGACTTAGTGTCGAGTAAGTTTGGTCATATTATACCTGGCCCTGGGACTAATAGTGTTTGAATTATTAAATATTGCCTTGCATTTGATCCTCGTTGTGGGAGTTGTTGGCAAACAGGCGTTGCATTTGTCAATTACATGTGGGATGTTGGTTTCTCTTCCTTTCCTTTGATCTTTTCTGAAATACTGGCAGTTGTATGCTGATTCTCCATGTCATAGAAATTAATTTACATATGTCTTCAAATATTTATATCTGCTGTTGTGCTTTTGGGGAGGGGGTTTCGTTAAAATATTTATTGATCTATTTGTTCATAGGATAAACTATTATTAGCACAACATTTTATTTATTTATTACAAAATTAAGGTTTTAGTTCAGAAGGTTTCTGAACAACTGAGTGCTTGTTCTTCAAATCCAATTAATATTTTCTGTAATTTGGCTGTAGACTATTTGTAAGTTTGTAAAGAAATATTTTTAGAAGATCAGACTAATTTCATAAGAACAATTCCAAATCATTGAAATAACTTTGATAAACATTACAAAAAAATGTGCATTGCTATAAAAAAAAAAAAAAAAAAAGGTATTGATAGTACAATATTCATTTTAAAAGGGATGCTGTATATAATGTAATGCAAGTGTGACTGTCTCACTTGGGTTGCTTGTCAGTTTACAGTTGTCTTATAAGGAGCCCTTCAGTTGGTCAGTCATGTAATTCTGTAAAATGATATGGTCAAACTTTACTAAATGACCACTTTCATATAACAACCAGTTTTAAAATTTTCCTTGGGTGACTGATTAATAGATTCAACTGTACAGAAAAGCTTTGTCAAAACTAAATGTTCAAAGACTTTTTTTTGAGATTCAATTATTCAGATTCATATAGGAATGTATTTGTATTGTAAAGTTGTCTTGTTAACGAAGTTTTTTTCTTAAGATAAACTGTACCAACAAGTTAAATTATATTATTACCAATCATTATTTTCAAAGGAAGTATTCAATAAAAAGCATATGTTATGAACATTTTACAGAATTAAAGATGTTCAAAATTTGAAAGTTTAAAAAAAAAAAAAAAAAAAAAAA